GTAATCCTGTTGTGTTTCAGATCCAGATTCCTCAAGCTCTCCGGAAAACTCCACCTTGGAGAAATCGAACTGAAACATGTTCCTCGAAAAATCGGCGGTGTTTAAGCTCTTGTTCTTCCCCAATAAGAACGATATGTCACCTTCAAGCCTGTTTCTTGATACGTCGATCCACGTGAAGTTAGCGTGCCCCAATCTCGCCGGAATATTCCCCGTCAGCTGATTGTGTGAGAGGTAGAGGTAGAAATCCTGCTGCCGGAAATCGGCGAAAGATTCCGGGATTGAGCCGGTGAGTTTGTTCCGGTCCAAACGGAGGCCGCCGAGGTTCGGGAGCTGGGAGAGCGACGCCGGAATCGTGCCGGAGAAGCTGTTGAACGACAGCCCAATGTACGTCAGCTTCTTGAGTTTGCTGAGGAACGACGGAACAGGGCCGGTGAGAGAGTTCCACCGGAGATCGAGAAATTTGAGGTTGGTGAGTTTGGTTATGGATTCCGGGATTTGACCGGTGGCGTTGACTTTGTGGAAGGCGAGGTTTTCGAGATACTTGAGGTCTCCGATGGCCGCCGGAATGGGGAGGCCGAAATTGGCGTCGGAGGTGTCGAATCGGGTGATGCGGTTGGTTTTTTCGTCGCAGTCCACCATGGACCAGGTGCAGCAGTCGGTGGTCGGATTCCATGAGATTAACTCGTAGGGATTGTTGAGGTCTTTCTTGATTTGTAGGAGGGCTTTTTTGTCATTTGGATGGCATTTCTTTGAAAATGCCAAAGAGTTGAAGGAGAAGAAGAAGAGAATTAGCAAAAGTATGAGACAATGGCCGGAGATAGTGGCCATGATTTTTGGATAGAAGAGAGATGAGTGTATAATGCATGCCACTAGTTGAGGTTTATATAAGGGGTAGGATATGGACTGTCTATGTAGTACGGATACAGAAACGGTGATACGCGGAAACGGGGTTTTTCGAAAATGGGGATACGTGAACTTAGGGGAAAGTGTAAATATTCTGTATAAACATTTATAAATTTTTATGTATATATAAATTCTTTTTATATATTTTTATACAAATATATTGAAAATAAATTTTACTATAAATTATTAATTTGCAACTGGTCATTAAATCGATGTAAATAATTTGAGGATTGTCTTTGAAAGTTACGTTTGAATATCGTCCGACATCTTTCTCTAGAAATTCCTGAGTTAAGTAATGAAATACATCAAAATTATTGCGTACTATGAATTACGTACTGATTAAGTGGTAGAATAGGTGATTAATTAGCAACGTATATTAAGTGGAGGAGGCGGTGCCGTAGATTCCGACAAAGGCAGCATTTCCACCGATTTCAATCTGCCTATAATGTATGATCCTCATCCAATGACAATTCACGACACTACTGGCGCCTCCGGAGGTACCTTGTATCAGAATAATAACACGTTGTAACAGAATAAACGGTATTTTGAATTACCGTAGGAATAAACGACGTCGTTCAACTCATAGAAGCGTGGACACGTTTTATATTATTTCACGTTTTATTACTTCAGCTTGAATAATGGGGAAACGGCACCGTTTCATACACCGAGGCAGCTCACCAACTTTGCATGAGGAGGAGCACTCCTGAACCCCTCTCTTCTCACCTGCTTTTGCAGTATAAAAAGACAAGAGAGGAGCCTGCCATTTTTTCGTCAATTTGCTGGTAACTTTTAGGTTAATATAGTGTAGTTTCTTTTGCTAGAAATCTCTACCTAAGCCTAAAGAACCGCCGCCAGTATCATTCTTCTCACCCTATCATATCCATCATATTTCACATTTGCAGGTAAATTTCAAGCTTCATGATTCATCAAGAGGAAGAAATCATAACAATTGGTATCTAGAGCCATCGTTTCTGGCGAGGAGCTAGGAATGATGACAAGGAGTCATGTCAGAACGGGATCTGGAGACAACACCAGATTTGATGCAGAAGTCTATCTGGATGAGCAATTAGCATTCAACAAAAAGATACAGAGTGAAATAGGAGAGATGTTGTCAAATTTGCACACATAAATGACTAGAAACAGAGTAGAGACTAATCAAAAAATTGAAGATCTGACCAAATTAGTTGGAGAATTGGTGAAAGCAGTCAATGGAAGTAATGGGAAAGCTCCTCTTGCACAAGGTAATTCATCTGAGAACCCTCTGAGACAGAAATCACACACACTCGTATTAGTATGTTTAAATCAACGATAAAAGACACTCAATGTAGTCTTCATCGGGTGTAACATAGAAATAACTAAGTAAAAGGACCATCCACTATGCAAATTGCAAAATTGATCTTATCCTACTTTTGGTTTGTGTTGCCAAATGTGTGACCCCATTTCCAATTCGAATTTGAATTTGATGTACATAAAAATATGTCACGTGGAAAGAATAAAAAAATAATATTTTCAATCAGTGAAGCATGCAGATATATTGCCCCACTCATTATTTGAGTACAAGAAAGAAACTTTATGCAATTCACGTGGATTGAGAATGTATGGTCCAAATAAATTTTGATAAAAATATCTTTTTGCTTTCACTAGTCAAACTGTCAAAGTGTTTCTATTTTAAGAGGACTAATAGTCAAAGTTACAATATGTTTACATTTAATTATGGGAATTTATATACATGAGATTAGATATTTGATGGGCCCCATTATTAAATTTGGCTTATGTATTGGGTCTCCAATTACTAGCATTTTCTCCGGAGACGATGCATAAAATAGCTTTCAAAGTGAAAAATTAGAGAATTAATAGAGAAAAAAAAACATACAAAAATAATAATTCAAAAGATGTCGTGAAAGAAAGTATAAATATTATACTTCTTCATTAACAAAAAAGTGAAGTGTTAGTAAATTAATTGAGAGATTTTTGTGGGATAAAATAAGTTGTTGTAGATATATAAAAAAAAAATAGGGTAAATTACAAACACCCCTGAGGTATGGTCAATTTATGAAAAAACCTCTCTTGTTTGGATAATTACATCTACTCCCCTCAACTATGATTTTTTCTTACACCTCGAAGATAATATTCCATATAATCTTGAAGATTTCACTAAATTTGAAACCGCAGGGGTGGACGTATAAGAAGATTTATAGTTGAAGGGGTGGTTGTAAATACCCAAACAAGAGGGTGTTTCTTATAATTTAACCATACCTCAGGTATAGTTGTAACTTACCCAAAAAAATATGATTAGGTGGAATATAAAAAAATGAAAGAAAAACTTTTTTAAAATAATATTACAAAAATATCTTAGGGTTAGTTTCACGTGCCATAATGCAATAATACATGCAAATCTTTTTATTATTTCACGTGTACTTTAAATTTTTAAGGGTAAAGTTCATTTTACCTACCTGAACTATATCCAACGTATAAAATACCCCCCCTGAACTTTGAAATGAACCAAGATAGTCCCTCTGAATTTTGAGTCAACGTTAAAACCGTTACAATTTTTAACTCCGTTAGTTTTTTATGTGTTTTTACATTTTTGTCCAGTCATATTATCTCTCCAACTTTTTCTCCCTCATCCTTCATTTTCTTTCTTTCTTCTTCGTCCCTTTTCTTTCTTTCTACAGAAGTGATGTTCATCAAACACATCACCATTGTTCCTCTTCTCTCTCTAGTACCATGACCCATAAAACAATAAAACCTACTTTCACACATCTGAAATTAAGGATTAGCTCATGTTTTTCCGGCGGGAGGTCAAGCTTCTCACAAACCCCTATTTGGGTTTCCGTTGGCGGTGGCGACCGGAAAAAAATGAAATCCAGAAGAAATTTGAACTCTTCGTTGCGAAACCAGCGCAGCTCCGACTTCGCTCCGCCCTACACGGCCAAGATGTCGGCGGAATCCGACGAAAACATCAACCCGTTTCTTGTGTGCCCCAATTTCTGATTTTGTGACCTTTTTAAAAGGGATTTGTATTGGGTTTCTCTTTGGTTTTCCTCCGAATTCGTTTCTTGTGTTCTCCAGGAATTTGAATCTTGAAGAATTCAAATTGGGTCGTGATATGGTGCAGCTGCGAAGGAGATGAGTCCATTAGGAGGGTCTGACCAAGCTAATTGGATTAGGACTTCTTTTAATTATATTGTGTTTTTTCATTTAATTAGATTACTTTACTTTTTTACTCAAAAAAAAAAGTCACAAATAAAAACTAAATATTGATTCACAGTTTATTTTAATTATTTATTTATTTGAGGAAAAATAAAAATTAAATATTTAATTGCATTAACTGATTCACAAAAACCCCTCTAATTAGACCATATATGAAAGTACTGCAGGGGTAAAATTGTCCGGAAAAAGCCACTTGTCATGCCACTGGATATAATTTTAAAAGTCAATGTGCCATGTCAGCAGAGGTGGATGGATTTTTAACGGAGGGGCTGGTTTGATACATTTTGAAGTTCAGGGATGTATTTTATACGTTGGGTATAGTTCAGGTAGGTAAAATGAATTTTACCCAATTTTTAATTTAGATTGATAATATCACTAAGATTGCAATTAATAATTTAAGGGCTTAAAATTTATTTCAAATTCATAACATGTTATGAAGATTACAATTAATTAATAATTTAAGCGCCGCAAATGCATCTGCAATATAATACTAATTTGCAGGAATATTCCATAATAATAATAATAATAAAATCATTTGCATTTCGGCAACGGGGCACCACACAAGCACTTGTTGTGGAAATACGACGTCGTTTCAAACCTCTGCAAACTCCCGCCCACCGGAATCTTGCCGCAAAGCCGATTGTAACTCACGTTCAGAGAAATAAGATCACCCATCTTAGCCAATCCCTCCGGCAATCTCCCCGTAATCCTGTTGTGGTTCAGATCCAGATTCCTCAAGCTCTCCGAAAACTCCACCTTGGAGAAATCGAACTGAAACATGTTCCTCGAAAAATCGGCGGTGTTTAAGCTCTTGTTCTTCCCGAACAAGAACGATATGTCACCTTCAAGCCTGTTTCTTGATACATCGATCCACGTGAAGTTGGCGTGCCCCAATCTCGCCGGAATATTCCCCGTCAGCTGATTATGTGAGAGGTAGAGGTAGAAATCCTGCTGCCGGAAATCGGCGAAAGATTCCGGGATTGAGCCGGTGAGTTTGTTCCGGTCCAAACCGAGGCCGCCGAGGTTCGGGAGCTGGGAGAGCGACGCCGGAATCGTGCCGGAGAAGCTGTTGAACGACAGCCCAATGTACGTCAGCTTCTTGAGTTTGCTGAGGAACGACGGAACAGGGCCGGTGAGAGAGTTCCACTGGAGATCGAGAGATTTGAGGTTGGTGAGCTTGGTTATGGATTCCGGGATTTGACCGGTGACGTTGACTTTGTGGAAAGCGAGGCTTTCGAGATACTTGAGGTCTCCGATGGCCGCCGGAATGGGGAGGCCGAAATTGGCGGCGGAGGTGTCGAATCGGGTGATGCGGTTGGTTTTGTCGTCGCAGTCCACCGAGGACCAGGTGCAGCAGTCGGTGGTCGGATCCCATGAGATTAAATCATAGGGATTGTTGAGGTCTTTCTTGATTTGTAGGAGGGCTTTTTTGTCATTTGCATGGCACCTCTTTGAAAATGCCAAAGAGTTGAAGGAGAAGAAGAGAATTAGCAAAAGTATGAGAGAATGGCCGGAAATAGTGGCCATGATTTTTGGATAGAAGAGAGATGAGTTTATAATGCATGCCACTAGTTGAGGTTTATATAAGGGGTAGCATATGGACTCTCTATGTGGTACGGACACAGAAACTGTGATACGGGGAAACGGGGTTTTCCGAAAATGGGGAAACGTGAATTTAGGAGAAACGTGTAAATATTAAAAGTATAGGGGTGTATTTATAGATATTCTGTATA